GATTAGTCATTTTCACAGCTTTAAGGTGACAATGAGAGGAACTTGAATGTGTCCAGACAAACTATTTCATGGATTATTTACCAATGTGTTGTGGTTTGAGTTGGGGTCAATGCGAATAAAACAGAAATTAAAATTCAGGACACTACTTTTCAAAACGCGTTACTTGAATAAAACTGTCCAGACACATTCAATTTACCAGACTATTGAACAACTAAGAAAAGTAAAAACAAAACTTCTTATCACCAGCATAAATGCGTAATTATTTTTTTTACAAAAAAAGTAATTTTTCACTTTTGATTAAGTAATGCACCGTAGAATGCAGATACAGGCATGACAAACGCACTTTTGAAAAGCTTGAAGTCTGGCGATTCCAAAAATATATACTTTCCTGGGTCTATTTGTAGTCGTTTGGTCCCAATTTGAAGAAGAAAACAAGTATGCAAATAATAGTCCCGCTACCTTAAGGACCCGATAATGCTTCAAAGTTTCCCAAAATATTTAAGTGGGTGCTTTCCCGACCATTCCTTTTACATATACTGGTACCTGTGCCAAATTACAGACGATGCTAACTTAATTTTATGTTGCAGACCAGAATATTTAACTACGCAAAATTAAAAAAAATATACACAGCAATCTTACACCACCAGGGCATTTTTTTACACGCATTGTATATGTTGCATGGTCCCATATCGAATGTTACACATTATGATCACAGGTGCTTTAATATTGAAAATATTTAAATAAAACAAGATTCATCAACTCATGCAGGTTTGCCCAATGAAGTCACCAGTCTGAATATTTACTAAATACATGCATATACAAATCTGTATCAAAATTTGGAGGGAAACAGTTGCAAGATGGACCTGGACAAATAAATTATATGTAATGGAAGGAACATTACAGGTATGAACAAGGAGGAATTTTCCTATTTACTGATCACTAGCCAGGAATTGCCTGCTATATTACATACATCAGTCATGATAGACGGGCCTAACCTACCCCTGGGTCTTACCCTTACCCTGGGTCTCACTTTACGAAATGTTCTTTGACGTCACAAAAAGCACGTCACCCGTACCCCTAATCGTCTTGTCACAGGTCACAAATTCGAATTAGTTTCGTTGACTCAATTTAATTGCCAGTGTAGTAGGGAGACAAGAGCACTTATTTCATTAACTCACCGGTCATGTTCAATGTCGTTCCTGTTTTGATTGCACTTGCAGCAATGACTTTGTATTGTTTGTAACAAATTTAGAAGTTCGAGTAAAATCTAGGAAATATCTGGAACCTAGTAAGTGGTCTTCTACCAAATAAAAACGATAACAATTAGATCCAAATCAGTGTAGAATCACCAATCCACTTTCGTTTTGTTATTACACTGGGCGCCGCCATGTTTGTTTAAGTTCAAAGTTCACGGGTGTGATCGTACAAGGGCGAAGAAAATAAATGAATATGCTCCAATAAGGACTATGCTGAACGGAATTGTTAATCCTGTATCACTGAAAATTATACTCCCTAATTGTAGTTAGGTGATAACGATGTATTGTAATAATAGCCCAAGTCTAAAAACGTATACGCTACGTTCAAACTGGGAGACGCTGAAAAATGTAGTGCATAATTATTAGTCGACAGTTCAAACAATTTACAGTAGAGTGATCACATTTACTTATCATAATATTCTCTCTATATAAAGTGAATATCTTTAAAAAATACTCTTGCTCTTAGTTTAATTTTTAAAAAAGAATTATAATCAGAAAATAATTGCGGATGCAATAGAATAGTGCTTTTACTATTCACGTGATATAGTCAGTATTGTCAGTGCCGCCGAAGTAAACAAAACGTTGGATATTGTGCTAAACAAGGTTTTTTCCAAAATCCACTATCATCCACCTCAAATCGTCAACAAATTTTATTTACAAGAACTCCAGTGTACCAGAGAACATCAGCTATGTCTATTGGAGTGCCAATTAAGGTTTTGCACGAAGCAGAAGGTCATATAATAACATGTGAAACTAGCTCGGGTGAAGTTTACCGAGGAAAGCTGATCGAGGCGGAAGACAATATGAACTGCCAAATGGCGAACATTACCGTGACGTACAGAGACGGCCGAGTTTCACAGCTTGAGCATGTATACATTAGGGGAAGTAAAATCCGGTTTTTAATACTGCCAGATATGCTGAAAAACGCACCAATGTTTAAAAAAGCTGGAACAAAAGGAACCGCCGGACGAGGAAAGTCAGCACTTCTCAAAGCGCAAGGTGAGTTTTCCATCACGTTGGAAATTTTCTTTCAAAAACTTGTACAGTTTGTGTAACTGTATGAGGCATTGCATGGCGTAGAATTATTTATTGGTGTACTATGTGTCAAAAGTGTATTTGATTTAAACAATACACTAGTTTTTACAGTTTTAGATGTAGGTTAGGTATAGGGTGTTTGGGTATCGTGTATTTGCCTGGTTTAAAACATAATTAAAATAGTGTTGGATGTTTGCATTTTGAGGTTGTAAATAAATATTTTAATGTTTCAATCTGGTCTCAAATACAGCATACTCCAAAAACTCTTGCTTATCTTATACAATCAAAAATGGTGTTACCATGGCTACAATTGCAGACACACTCGTATTTACTAGTGAGTTATTCAGCATTGCCAATAGTTTCCAGCTACACAAATGTACTTACCACATAAACATCAGGAATTGTCATTTTGTAATACTGAATTTAAAAAAAAAATTCTTGCTTTTATTTTTTCAGCTGCTGCGAGAGGAAGAGGACAGGGACGAGGAAGAGGAAACATATTTCAGAGGAGAAAATAAGTGGGATTGTTTTGGTGTACAATTCAGTTATTTTATTTCAGATTTCCTTGTGTTAATATGATGGCAACCCCACCCACAAACCGTATTTGGAAGTTAGTCTGTTGCCGAAGACACAACTGATCAAAATGTACAAGATGTAGACATTTTGACACTTCAGATAATCTAAAAAAATGTGGTGTATGTCCGTCTAGAGCTATTTGGTGAGAGCTCTTTATTTTTATTACATGGGACTGTTTTGTTGACACGTGTTATAGTTTGAATTTCTGTATGTTTAACATTATTTGTAAGATTGTATATCTGATTGCTTGAATGGGATCAGATGTATAAACCCCACAGTGAGAAGCAAATGCACGAGGTAAAACAGATATCTTGGTTAAGAACAGATAATATACATGGTGTTGTTGCAGATAACTCCTACAGTTGGCCCCTGATACTACATATTGGTTTTAGTCTGTTTGTAGATGAAGTGTTGTTCATTATAATACTTCTGAAGGATTCTTTAGTAATTTTGTAATAAAGTAAAATTGTTCATTCAACTGATCATGAAATTGTCTGCTGTATTCTTTACTACACTCTGGTCTTGCAGCACCGATAAAATCGTTTTATTCTTTACACATTGTCTACTGAAAACCTCCACAGACATGTACAAAAATCTATAGGGGGAAAAAGTGGTGTCGGCACATGATGTGCATGGCCCGATGTTTAGCTCTATACAATCTAAACAAAGGATTTTTCACACATGTTTTTTCATGTTTAGGATAAAGCCATACTTTTTTGGGATATAAAGTCAGTCAGATTTTGGTGTGCTGGAGATGATTTTATATCCAGAAGAGTAAATAGGCTTTATCTGACTTGAAACTTACCACCCAAACCATCTATAGAAATTATCATAATTTAAACTGAGTTTGTGAGTAGTCAACATTTCTACACAATTTGATTGGTGGAATGGAATGTGCTCTAAAGTGGCCTCAACATTTTATCTTGTGCCCGTCTTTATAACCAGAAGAGTTCTCGTACTCTGACTTTATTCAATACTTTATAATGGTAGTTGACCTTTAGAATGAAATGCAATTAATTTGGTCAGGAGAAATTTTAATGTTCAGATTTTTAGTTCTTGTGGATGCCATCAGTGCATGAAC